AATATTCCAGATGTGGCCTCACCAGGGCAGAGCAGAGGGGGAGGAGAACCTCTCTTGACCTGCTGGCCACGCTCCTTTTAATGCACCCCAGGACAGTGTTGGCCTTCTTGGCCACAAGGGCACACTGCTGACTCATGGCCAACCTGCTGTCCACCAGCACACCCAGGTCCTTTTCCATAGAGCTCCTTTCCAGCAGGTCAGCCCCCAACCTGTACTGCTGCATGCGGTTATTCCTCCCCAGGTGAAGGACTCTGCACTTGCTCTTGTTAAACCTCATCAGGTTCCACTTATTCAAAGTTGAAAAGCAACTTTGAATAAGCAAACCAAAGCTCTTTATTGAATTTTATTTTTAATATTAAAGATAATCACAGAGGATTTTGATGTACTTTTCAATTACTTATAAAAATAGCCCTGTGTGCTTCATTTGTAAAAATGCACTACATGTCCAATAAACCTGCAGCACTTTTTTGTACTTACTGAAGTGTATGTTACTGAATTCTCAGACAGCTGGAGTTACTTGTGACTGATAATTGTCACAAGGTTTAAAAGAAGTTCAACATTTACAAATACGGTGGACAGCAGGATGACCATGAGCCAGCACTGTGCCCTCGTGGCCAGGAAGGCCAGTGGCATCCTGGGGTGCATTAGAAGGGGTGTGGTTAGTAGGTCGAGAGAGGTTCTCCTCCCCCTCTACTCTGCCCTGGTGAGGCCGCATCTGGAATACTGTGTCCAGTTCTGGGCCCCACAGTTCAAGAAGGACAGGGAACTCCTTGAGAGAGTCCAGCGTAGAGCCACCAAGATGATGAAGGGAGTGGAGCATCTCCCTGATGAGGAAAGGCTGAGGGAGCTGGGGCTCTTTAGCTTGGAAAAGAGGAGACTGAGGGGAGACCTAATTAATGTTTACAAATATGTTAAGGGCAAATGTCATGAGAATGGAGCCAGGCTCTTCTCAGTGATGCCCAGCGATAGGACAAGGAGCAATGGGTGGAAGCTGGAACACAGGAGGTTCCGCTTAAACTTGAGAAGAAACTACTTTACAGTGAGGGTGACAGACACTGGAACAGGCTGCCCAGGGAGGTTGTGGAGTCTCCTTCTCTGGAGACATTCAAGACCCGCCTGGACACCTTCCTGTGTAAAATTGTTTAGGTTCCTGCTCCGGCAGGGGGATTGGACTGGATGATCTCTTGAAGTCCCTTCCCATCCCCAACATTCTGTGATTCTGTGATTCTGTGAAATATCACACTCATTTTATGCAGACTTACTTCTAAATGACTATTGTACTAGTAATGCCATTTTGGTACCTGTTTTAAATTATCGTAAAATCAGTTATTTTATTAATTTCTCAATGATCTAATCCAGTTTAGGTTTTTTCTGTATTTGTATCACATGACTTTCTGAAACCTAATGTTCAGGTCACTCACTGTAGATTAACTTATTTCTGGTTCAGAGCAAGGCACGGAAATTCAATGTGGGGCATGGAAAAACTCAGTCTACCAATTTGTAAAAGTTGTAAGTGACTACATCAAATATCATACTGGGCAGAGGGGGGCAGTCTTAATAATAAAGCAATCCTATCAGTCACCTTATCATAAATCAATACATAGCAAAAGTAACTTGTGTGGGTAAATGCATATTGTCTACAGAGTAACTTCATAGAGAGCAAAATACTCCAATTTTATTGCCTGCCCTCTAAAATTACATTTCTAATTACTGAATAATTGAGTTAGATGTATGTTTCCATTTATTTTCCAGTGCTAAGATCCACAGCTCCAGGTAACTGGGTGTACCATGAAAATCAGTACATAAATGTTAGATGTGTTTATTTTTACAAATGGATGCAAAAGAAAAGATCAGACTGTTGCATGTTGATACACGTGCTTGAGTGGGCTGGCTAGACTGAAGGGAAGCATTTAATCTGTGTGAAGAGCATTGTGCAGAAATGAGCTCCCTACTGCTAGATATTTATGGACAGATCCTTTATACCAATATATTTTTTTTCTCTGTGTTTCTTTAATCAGGTACCACAACCAGGGACACTGAAACTATCTCACGTCCAGGAGGGCGGGTACATTTTCCAGCTGACTGTGACAGACACTGCAGGTCAGCGGAGCTCTGATAACGTCTCTGTGACCGTTCTGCCCATGGTTCATTCTGCAGTAGGTGAGAAAATGACTGGAGCTGTTGCCTGTGTGACGCCTGCGTATGGTATTCAGAACAAGGGTCTTAATGGAGGCAGAATCTTGTTTTCCATTTCTAGTGCTTTGTTTTGCCCTTGGTCATTACATAATGACATCTCTTTCAGTTTTGAATCACTGTTTCAAAGTGAGGAAGTGAGCAAGCATGGCTTGCTTGTTAGAGCAATAATACTTTCAGGCGTTAAAAGGTTCATCCTTGTATTGCTAATAAGCGTGCAGGGTTAGAAAAATGAAATACCGGTGTAGGCATCACACCCTACCAGTTCATTGTATAGTCAGACAGTGCGTGGAACGCAACAAGGCTTGGGCTGTAGGGAAGACCCAGTTAAAAGCGGTTAATAGTAGGTGTGACACACAAACTAATAATAGTATTGGCCTGCATCTGTAGTCTAAAAGATGGGATGGTTTCTTGTTTTCATGCATTTAAGCTTTTCTATGTAATGGTTGTCATTGAAGCCTTATGTTACAGTGGAAACCGAAACTGGAATTGACCCATCATTTTAAAACTCTGACCTCGAGATGTAAAAAGCATGAAAGGTAGAAAGTAAGTTATGTTTCAGTGGCTGACAATTCTGCGCTTTTTAATGTAGCAACTTCTAATTACGTTGTAATTAGTGCGTTGCTAATATAGATCTGCTGCTCTGGGATGAAGTAAAGGTTAAATAGCATTGTCACTATCTTCAGCTGAATCAGTGAAAACTTTGCTCTACACCATTGCAATATCTCTGCGTGAGAGGGTGGTCCCAGTGGCGATAAATTGGTATTACAAAAACCAGTTACGAGTCTGTTTAGTAATGCCTGTATTCCAGTAATGGATGATAGAGTTGTATTCTTTAATTCAGCTAAAGCAGCCAGAGAGTTTCCTGATTTATTTATTTGCTGCTGTGGGTATCTCTGGTATCTTTTGGGTGGGGCACATAGAAGATTTGCTGCCTTTTTTCTAATTCCCCAAGTCCGTTTGCAATTCAAGTGCCACTGCTATAGTTAAACCAGTCTATGGTGCCTTCGTGCATGCAAGGCTGCTGCTATTATTAGCACTGAAGTTTGGGAGATGCATTTTCTAAGTATGATTTTAGGGGTTTTAAACAGGCACCTGTGTTCCTGGCATGCTTTCCTTAGCATTGCGCAGCTTTTTGGTACATAGCAGGGTAACAGTCAAAGGCTGTGACTTGCTTGTGCAAATTGATTTGCTGTTACACCATTAACCAAGCACTGAATCTGAAAGTGCTTTACAAGCAGTGAACTACACTGCTGTTGGAAAGACAAAAGCACGTAGGTAAACACTTTATAATTACAAGGTCACAATGGATATCAGGAAAGCTTTGAGTATGCAACATGGCATGTCCAGGGACACTTCATTTCCAGGGGAATCTAAATATTAAAGCAGGCAGCAACCAGTTCTTTCTAGTGAAGGTCACTTGTGAGACGTTGTGCTCACTCCTGTTCTGGCATGTGCTGTATCAGAGTCAGTGGGTTGCTCGTGGGGATAAATAAACAGCATTCTCTTAGTATTTTAATGAGGTTGCAGAAAACATGCCATAGAAGATCCCATATAGCCCCTATGTGTGCACATAAAATAACACTGGCAGAACTACAGAATGGGAATTAGGTGTTGGAGAAATGCAGTTACAACCGTAGAGATGTCCTTATTTATTTTCAGGACTGTTTTGGGTCTTTTAAGCCTGGGAAGTTCTCCTTTCAGCTTAGGCCAGCAGAGTTTAAAGTGCTGTAGGAGTGCTGCAAAAGGTGCAAGGTGCTACAGCCTCCAGGTTGAGTATTCCTGTAGTAAAGAGATTGACAGAATAGTGATGAGGGTGCAGGGAACAGCTATGAGCTATATTAGCTTGTGTGTCAATACAGCATCATATAGCTGAGCCTGCCCTTTCTTCAACTTTCTGCCTTGTTCATGGTCCTTCTTGACATAGTGTGGTTTTGCTTTTTCCTTGGTAGTGCAGATTTTAGTCATTGACTCAGTATTTACTGCTTGGATTTTGGTAATTTGAGAATTGTTTCTCAACAGCCTGTGTTGGGATTTGCTCTCGCTACCAGTTTATCTGTGACGATGGCTGCTGCATTGACATCACGTTTGCTTGCGATGGCGTGAGGCAGTGCCCTGATGGATCAGACGAAACTTTCTGCCAGAACTGTAAGTGCACCAGGCCACAGCAGTGTGTGCTGTGAAGGTAACCACAGCCTGAATGATCAAAGGGAAGTGATGTTCCTTCTGTGGCCTCTCTTCCCATAAGCAAGCAGCTCGCACCCACCATAGAGCCTTTTGCTGGAAGTAGTATGTGGGAAGGTTTCATGTCTGCATACAGCAGATGCTCAGAAACTAACTCCCTTTTCTTCAAAGCATATCAAAACTATCCAGAGTCCCCAAATGACAGATTTTCTGTTACAGCTCTCAATATTTGTTAAAAGGTCAGTTTTTTACTTGCATGATGATTCTGGAAACAAGGACCCTGGTCTTGATCATAGAATCATAGAATGGTTTGGGTTGGAAGGTACCTTTAAAGGTCATCTAGTCCAACCCCCTTGTCATGGGCAGGGACATTTTCAGGTAAATCAGGTTGCTCAGAGCCCTCTCCAGCCTGACCTTGAATGTTTCCAGAAAACATTCAAGGGAACAGGGATCTGAAAGGGTGTCTCAGAGCTATACTTCAAAATGCAGTTACGTACTTGCAAGAATGTGAAACACTGGGAATGTGAGCACATAGAACCAGCTGATTCACCATTGCTCTGTTTGCTTTCATTAGTCATCCTCAAAATGGGTCCATGCTCAGCTAAGTGAACAAAAATCATTGACAGGGGAATTGGCACGATGGCTAACCACTCTTCAACTGATATTTCAGTTGCTGGATTTCACTTTAGGGTTCATGTGTATACTCTTGCTTGAGAACTGGCAGTGGGCAATTGGTAACTTGCTATGCATCTGGAACTCACATTTCATCATATGTCTGAACCTGATGAACTCGTTTAGCCTGCCTCAAGGCCCATATTGCCAGGTCTTCCATCAGAACATTCCCATTCCCTTCAATTCTATATAAAAATTAGGATTTTTTTTCTGTTAACACAGTCAGCCCAGGCCGGAAGACAGTGACTCACGTGGCTCTCGACACTACCCAGCAAAGGACTTTGGGACTGACAGAAAACACAGATGAAAACTTCTCTGCAGAAAACACCCTGAAAGCAACTGCCAGAAATCAACCACTTCTCTCAGTGGATGCAGACATGTCTAACCAATCGCTTTCTCAGGGACCAAAGAAACAAATCAGTGGATTTGTGCCAGGTAAGAATTGAAGTGAACCAGTTTCAGTAAAACTTTAGAGGAAGAAAATTTCTTGCACCTTAAATTTAATTAAATTGTCTTTTGGTGCTTGGCTAAGAGTAAAAATTTGCAAATGTACAAAATGCAAAAGCAGCTTGTAATAATTAAGTTACAACTAGGTATTGCTTTATAAAGTTAAGTCTGGTTCTTACCAGGTGCAAAAAGAAAGTTAAAATGTAGAAATGCTAGGAAAAGTATACACTCTTAAGGAGTGCATTGAGCTAAATAAAATGTGCAGTGAGATAAATACAAATTCTGACACAGGTTCAGCTTATGTAAGCCAATATATAAAAATATATATCCTCTTTAAATCTGTAGGGAATACCTTCAGTAGAACATAAAAAACTACTGTTCAACTTGGGTAAGAGTAATTGCATCTCTCCTGGTGCTAATCAATGACTTTTTTTTCCCCTGAAATAATATCTTGATTATTACAGATACTTCTTTTCTGAAGTGTGTTTCCAGCACAGGAGGAATCTTTTCTCACTGTAGAGAAGGCTCAGTCTTTGTTAACAAACAACCCCAGGTCCCCAGTAGTATTCTCCATAGTGGCTGCAAGCCTGTTGTGAGTCAGTGTGCAGTGATGTTACAGGCAGAGTCACCAACCTTTGCCTTGCTTTTATTTCTTCAGAGTTCGGAATGATTCTTGCTGCCCAAGATGCAGCCAGTTATAAACGGCTCTATTTTGTTGTTACAACAGAGCGGTGCTCAGTGCCCTCTGCTGCTGACTCTTGTAAAGGGTACTTCCATGTTTCTTCAGATACTTGTGCTTCATCTGTGGAGACTGCAAAGGGAGTGAAAACATTCTTCAAGAATTTGAATGCCTCGGTGAATGTGTAGGAACTGATAGTAAAATTCTCTCTCAAGTGTTTCCCCCTTTTCTGGCAGTGTCAATGACCTCGGTGCTTCTTATTGGAATGACTTAAAATTCTGAAGTCTGCCCCAAACCCTTCTCACGCGCATGGTCCCGAGTGACACCTGATACAGGGCCACCCAAACTGAACATCAGATTGCCAAAGAGCATTGCAGGCTCCAGTGGAAAGTCAGCTGCTAAGTAGGTCTGAAAAACCACTGGGCTTGTGAATCCAGAAGTAAAATCAGAATTGAGGTCACCAACTTTGGCAACCTATAATCGGAGGTTGTAATTGGAAGTGCATGTAAAAGCATGGCACTTTTGCATAGTCATTTTCTGTGTTTGCCCATTGCATCGTGACTTACTTGCACCGTTTTTGCTTTCAAGGTAGCCTTTTGCACAGCAGTAGATGGCAAAAGAAAAAAAATATTATAAAACTAAAAAAATGTGTTTGGGCTTCAGTGATTAGTGTACTACCAGAAGCTGTTGTCATCTTTTTAATTTTAAACAGACAAGATTTCCAGCTAACCATGTCTGTTGTTAATTCTTATGGTTTTAGTATCAGTCTTTTGACAAGGCTCAGTCAGAATTTATTTTCAGTTAAATGATACTTAAGCATTTCATAGAATCATAGAATGGTTAGGGTTGGAAGGGACCTTAAAGATCATTCTAGTTTCCTTGTAGAATAGAAGGACCTAGTCCTTACTGACCAGGTGCCCTATACTTTTAACCAAGAAAGCAGCAAACAGCTCTGATAAGTGAACATATACAGTTTGATTCCACAGATCAGCTCAGCGAGTTTTCACATTGCCTACAGATCAGTTCCAAAGAGGGTGCATGTGGTGGGACCTGAAGAGGTACTAGGTACTTGAGTCCAAGGGCAGCTGCCAAAATCTGCTCCGAGTTGCTGTCTTCACATGCAGACACTTAAACTCCATAGGAGTCACGTGCTGTACGTTAGTGATTTCCAGAGGTCCAGAGAGATTCGAGTTCTGCCCCACTGGTTAAGCACCACCATCTTTAAGGAGCTGAGGAGACGGGCATCTAACCTATTCCTAAAAATCCACACAGATCCATTAATTAGATTTCTCTCCATCACTGCCATCTCAAGGAGGCTGCAGGCCCAATCTAATAATTAGGTGCTACAAAAATGAGAGACACAGAAGCACTAGAGCAGCTCCATGAAGCCCATCTGGAAAAGTGTTCAGGAGGGCAATAACTGCTAGACACATTTTTGAGGAGAATAAGGAGCACTGAGCAGAAATCATACCAACCACCTCAGAAGTTCAGCAATTCCACTGGCAGAAATCCTGCTGTGGGATGGACTGTCTCCTGCGACAGTGCCAGACCCGCTGCTAGTGCCAAGGCAGAACCTGTGCCTCTGAGTCACACTGGAAAGGTCTTGGTTGGATCAAGACAATAGTGTTGCTTGTTGGCCTAGAGCTGACTTTGCAAGCATCCAGGCTCCTGGTACACTATTATAAATAAATTGCAAAAATAAGCTTTAATGATTTTAATGTCAACATGCTGAAAAGCTGTCTACTTAAGATACACATTAAGGGATGTGGCTTTACAGCAGCAGCACACGTTACAGCTTTTCACTTGAGATTGCTCCATTCAGGGCTACATTTGTCTTATTTCTTAGTTGGCATTTGCAGATTGTCATGGAAATACAAGCCAGGAAGGAAAATGTGATGCTCTTGGATACAGTGACTGCAAGGCAGAGCAAGAGAAGGTGTTAATATTAAGGGTAATTTACCTACTAGAGACAGCACATGGCACATTCTCAGTGGCTGCAAGACACGATGCTTGATACAGGAGCTTTCAGCTGCTTTTAAAGAACAGAAGTTTTCCCCAAGAAGTTGCAGGACTGGGGAGTTGCTTTGTTTTCTTTTTTACATTTGTGTTTTTTACGGTGGTGGTAACAGTACCCATAGAGACAGGTCCTTTTTGCTACTTACCTCCCCATAAGCGGCTTTCACCTCTGAGAATCCAATAAAGATGTCCAATAAAGGGACCTCCTTGTCAAAGACCACTATATTTATCTTTTCTCCATTTTAAAAGGAACTGGACTAGGCTGTAATGTTTGGGGCTGTGGGATAGTTCCTTGCAGCAGGAAAATGAGCTTTCTGCCTTTGAGGGTAATATTAAGGGAAATTTGTCCCAGAATCCATTTTCTTCTAACAGTTTCTCTGTTCCAAATTTCCCTTAACCTGCTTTCTTTACTTCAGTAGCCCCTCATGTTTGTCTCTGATTTGACATAAGCTTTTTAAGGATTTACAGTTAAGTATGAAAATGTGAAAATATGCAAGTCCAAGGTAAGGACTGTTTAAAACTTCTACCTGACCTGGCAGGGGATCTCTTCACAGTAAAGGGGAAAAGAAAAACAACAATAAAAACAAAAGTAATTCATTGTTGATCATGACTGACTTTTGTTCTGCACTCCTGCTTTTCCAGTGGGATTCCTCTACAGCAGGGTGACTCCAGGGGAACATCAAGTCCGACTTGGAGATAACCTCTTCAGGCATTCAGGGTGTAGAGGCTTCTGCAACACACTCATGGTTTGCTTTTGCCCAAGCTGGGAGGCCAAACTTTTTCTTATGTAGTTGGGAGTGGATGAAGGAAGAGGCATCTGATGTCAATAAAGGAGCCCTTTCCCTTTGCTGACATATCTCCACATAGTGAAGTAACCTGGACTGCATCTCCTCCAAAGGCCAGCGCAGCACTTCTGCACGGCTGCCTCCAGAGTGCCCCGGCATCCTTTTGTGGGCGAGCTCTCAAGCCCAGCTGCGTATTCTGGCGCTGCTGCACTTGTAAATGAACGTAGCAAAAATCTAGTTGCAGCAAAGCACACTGGAGTGAGCAGTGGGCTGGTTTCAAAGCAGCAATAGCCAATCTAGCAAACACAGTCATGCAGACGGGTTGAATTCACAAGCAGCCTGAAGAGTTGCACTCCCCAGCATAGCCAAGTCAAGTGTATAAATCACCATAACAGCTTCACATTCCCCTGGCACGGGGTCTCTGCCTCTCCCCAGGCTGCCCGTGCCAGCTGTTGTGCAGTGCTGTTCAGGGCTGGGATTACAACAGTTGACTGAGTGCCCAAGCCTTAGTCATGTTTTGCTGCAGAGACATTGACAGCAGCAGCCATAACCTAGATCTCTAATTGAGGGTAACTGGAAAAGGCTATAAATTGCAAGTTCCTAGACATGGACTAGAAACTGAAGAGAAAGTGAAAACAAAATGCTTTATGTCAGGCTCCTAAACCTATTTGGGGAAGTCTGTCTCAGTTTTTAGTTGATAAGATGTTGAGCAGCACTGACTCTGATAGCTCCTCCCGTCTTGTAAGAATAGCCATAAGTCTTAACAAAACCCTACAAGCTTTCTTGAAAGGATTCTGTTATTCTTCTACCCTTACAAAATTTTCCTGCTACACTTCTCTCCAGATGTATTTGCCAAATGTCTTCACAAGCAGTTGGCTTAAATATTCCCTTTACTCAAATGTCAGGGAAACAAATTTATAGAACAAGCATTCAGATCTAGCTTTGTCATACAGGCTGGAGCAGCTCTAAGAAGGGCTGATGTCTTTTGGGTATTTCCAAAATGAAGACAAATATTTAATTTCATTTAGGGAAGACAGAGGCAGAAAACAGCTGCTGGTTTTGGTCTCAATTACGTGCAGGTTATTTTGCACAGCGCTGGTACCATACAGGTACCTTAAGGCCAGTACAGTTTACAGTTTGGATTTCGTTAAATCCCCTTTACATGCCAGGACAACTTAAAGAGCCCGAGCGAGAAGGAGAGCTGCGGCTTGTTCCTAAGGCATTCCCTAGCAGATGAAGTTAGTGTTTATGCACCCCTAGCCATAATTGCAGGGCAGTAAAGCCAGAGCCTGGGAGGCTGTCTTGTGCCTTGGAGTGAGGACGTAAGCACTAACCTCATGCCAGTTTTCAATGAAAAAATGTAAGCTTTAGTTAACAGTCACATGTATTTGCTGCTGTCACTGACAGGGACATGTCCTGCAGCACTTTGGAGCTGTTGGTGGTGAGTGGGTGTTAACTCACGGTGCGTGTTCCAAGCTCATTGACTTAAACACTTCCTTAACGCCCACCACTTGCTGTCGTTCCAATTACAGCGTTTCACATTCATATTTTACAGCTCCTGTAGCACAGAGCGTTTCCACTGGCATTGTCACAGTTCCGAGGGCTGCCGCAAATACATCGCAGCACAAAGTGCCCTTCAGTATTTATCAGGAAAGAACAAATACAGTCATTGCATGTAAAAACATGGGCGTGTATCTGATTGTTGCGAGGGTGTGTTGGTGGATTAAGCTGTCACTCTTACGTGAAGTGTCTCCATAGCTATTGGTGTGGGACTTCAGTGGGAGGGCAGGAGAGGGGAGTCCCAGCTGACTTACTCTTTACTCCTGTGAAGCAAAACTGCAGCCTCCTGCGCTCCGAAGATGAATGCTTCTTGCCAGCAAACTGTGTGTTGTCTCTTCTTGTGTAGTTGCAACGCTCTGCTATAGCGCCTGGACTACAGCTGAAGTGACTCCAAGCCATCCTCTTTGAAATGTTTTTCCCAAATATTTTTGTGTGTTCTAAGTACATAAATGTTCTGCATTTGTATGTGTCAGGTAACAGACAAAAATAAGGTAATTTGTGTAGCCAACCTATGCATTTCCCACTTTACAAGTTCCAAGGGTGGAGATCAACGTAACTTCAAACAGCTCAGATTGGTCTATATCCCATTATGGAAGTTTGTAGAAGATAATTTATATCCATCTTTTTTCAGTGGAAAATGACCCACTTGTGTTTGGTTGAGATGCATTGTGGTTTGCAATGTAAAATTGAATTTACATCAGTTTTAGTCTCACATTATTTCAAAAATTCAAGTTCTACAATAGGAGTCAGAAGTTCTTAAATTGTTTTTGCTTTCTAAATTTAAGTGCTTTCACATTATTTAATTCTAGTGTCCTTTGTATAAGACTTCCCAAGTCACTGAACTGCAACATTCATTTATCTTGCTTGACTTTGTGCAGATAACAGTTCCTCAGGGAAAAGAACAGATGATAAAAATGAGAATGGCATAATTGTGCCAAAGAGAGATCAGCTTGGAGGTGGTCGTCCAGTCCCAGAAACAGGTAAGAATGATCATGTGAACTCATTTTGAATTATGTTAGTTTTTTACTCAGGTGCTATAGATCCAGATACTATAGTCAAGAATCAAGTAATATACCTCCATATTTTGAACTGTTCCTAACTTGGATGATCATACAGCTTAGCTTCTCAGCATGAGTTGCTCCAAATATTAGCACCTGAGCAATAGAGTAGCTGTACTTTTAAAGAACAAAGTTCAGGTTTTCTCTACCGATTTCTCACTGTATTAAATAAAGTGCAATTTCTCTTAACCTCCTTGTAGGTGCTGTGTTACCCTTAGCCTTAGGCTTGGCCATCACTGCTTTACTGCTGCTTATGGTTGCTTGCAGACTGCGTTTAGTGAGACAGAAGCTTAAAAAAGCTCGACCCATTACATCTGAAGAGTCTGATTACCTCATCAATGGGATGTATCTCTAAAAATTGGATTTAGGTCAGTTGTTTTCTCCCCATTCTCCTGTGTCCATGAACCTCTGCCTCTATAAAAGGACCAAAACCTTTAGTTGAGTTTCAAGTGTAGAAGAAGCCTATGAGATGAGGAACATGTTCTTCCCCTTTGGTGATAAAATAAAAAAGTGGGTAGGTGCCCGTGCTCAGAAGATAAGAAGCATTCAGACTTCAGAGAGTAGCTCCCGTTGGCTCTTGTGCAGGAGATACTGCAAGGTGGGGACACCCCAAACAGGATGTGGGGTGCCCTTGCCCTCCTTGCAGCAGTCAGGGTCCCGGCTGTGGCACGGGCCAGGGCAGCTCAGTAGCCAAGGGCCAGCAGCCCTAGCTGAGGCGTAGAGGGAAGCCTGTGCCACCTTGCTCTTCTCAGAGCTGCCACTGCTGTGTTCCGCTCTGGGGCCTGGGACACTGCAGACCAACACGTTACTTCACTGTCCAGCAGAGACTGATTTGTGTACTTTCCACCTGATGCACTGGGAGTATTTTCATTGAAGGACTTGTCTTTTAAAAACAATCGCTATCTAAGCACCAGCTTTTGTAATGAAATTTGGGATTTAAGGAACAAAGCATTTTTTTTTTTAATTTGTAGTTTAAACTTCTGTGCAGCTAACAGAGTCATGCTAAATGCTAGAATGAAAAAATACAAGCCCTCAGCAGAAGAGTTTGGACTTACCAGTGCTCAACAGCAGTCATGTGTGACCCCAGAGCTATGTCTCTCCTGGAGCTCAGGGCTTGTTCCACCCCTAGCTCGACACTCTCCATGGCATGAGGGAACAGCACGCAGCAGCTTTTACCCGAGATGCCGGAGCACGGGATTCCTGATGGTTATCCCATAGCTCCCTGCAAAGCTTGAAAGCTTTGGCAACCTGCCCTCACCCCAGCAAAATTCTCATAGAATAGAGCAAGTAATTGATATGTGTGAGTGAACTTCAGATGTGTTAATAGTAAAATATGTACAGTACATGTTATATATACATATATACACACACACACACTGTGCTGTCTCTCTTGTTTGACTGTCCAAGGATGTCACATTCATCGTGGGTCCCAATAAAATAGAGGCAGATGAGGCATGCATCTTTTTGTATGTCGTCTTTTGTACTTCAGTAACTTTTGAGTCCGCAAGAATACTGCCATCGTATACAAATAGTTCTTCGGTCTTGATTACTTTATGTAAAATAGCTCTAATAAACCTATTTTATTCTTACATTTCTTGCATTGCCTTTATTTTCAGCTACCAACTAAACTTTGTGCTATGAGACCATGGCATGAGAGGAGACAGAAGTACCTTTCTCTCCTCTGTGAAACAGCCTTAAAAGAAGCTGGAATGTGTATGGTGGGGGGGAATTGATGAGATATTGAGGAGAACAGGGCATCCCACCTCCATGACCTGTCTCTTGAGCAGTACTTGAGCTGAGGACAGCAGTCACAGAGCTGGCTGTACTGGCCCCTCAGGGAAGCTGGTTGCCAGTGCTCCTTGCTCAGAGCCCTCCTGCCACGTTAGGCAAAGTCTGGGTGTTCATACTTCAGCATTACATTGGGTCCAGGAGACCTGCTGCTGATGCTGCCCATTTCTAACTGGGGAGCACGGCCTCTTCGCCGGCCCAGCCCACAGCAGGCACGGCAAATAGGGCAAGGCCCAAAAGAGCACATTTTAAATACAGCCTTCTAGGAAAGGTATATACTGCCCCTCTGGGTGGGGTATTACTTCCCATCACTGACATTTGTTTGGGGTTTTAATTAAATAGATCTAATTCTCCTTCACCATCTTACTATAGCAGCAAGAAAAGTAGTCTTTTCTCACTCTGCCCATAGTGCTCCTATTACCGAAACCCATTTCTCCAGCCTGCAACCAGGAGGAGAACAAAGGTTTGGTTTTGTTCTTCTGGGGAGGACAATAGCAGGATCCCGCATGGAGCACAAGGCAGCCAGTACAGCCACGGTGTGAGAAGCTGCTCAGCTTTCCAGTCGCTTTACCCAATAGCAGGATTTGTTGCTGTGCTGCTGCAGGTGGAATCAACCTTCATGGATTTCACATCTGACAGCCAAGAACAGAACACCTGCAAGCAGAGCTGCAGCAAGAGCAGCCGACAGCAAGGGTAGCACGGGAGCCTAGCTATGGACAGGTTATAATTGCCCCAGTCTTCCCAGGGACTCTTCTTTCTAGGAGGAGACATGGATGCTGGGCAGATCACCAGCCCGAGGCCTGTCACTTCTCAGGTAATTGCAAACTCCACAGCTGGACTGAAATTAAAAAAGTTTGCACTGTACCAGCAATCCTGGGCTTTGGCAGCTAGATGAAGAGCAAGACAAAGTTAGCAAAGTAATAGAGTGACTGGGCAGCTCCTGCAATTAATACACACGGGTCTCAACAGCGTGTTTTCATTTAACAGCTTTTATGCTATTCGACTTTAAATAAGTGATCCTGAACTACTCAGCCAGAGCGCCTCTGAGCACTAGCAGAAAAAGCTGTGGCAAGAGACCCTTGTTGGCACGCTGGGGGTGCTGCCCCCTCCTCCCCAGGCTGCTGACACCATTCTGCAGCCCCTGCCCAGCCACCCCCAGCGCTGGGGCTCTCTCTCCTATGGCAAAGGAGCACTCCGAGCAGGCACTCCTGCCCCATCTGCACAGTTGCATTGCAAACTGCTTTCATGGCTTCTGATGCAAACTTCAGGAGCTGGGGAGTTTTATACTGCAGCAGAAGTCAGATATTCTGTGTGAAAATCATCACTGTTTGAAGTCTGTCAGGTCTGTTTTTCCTGTCCTAAACACTGACATGTGTCTGTCCACGCACCCAGGAATATTCTCAGTCCACCTGTTTGACTACCAGCATGCTTTAGACAGATAAGCAGAGAATACTGATTGCTCTGTTAGCACAGAACTGCGGATATTACTCCTCTGTGTATGAGGAGAGGTCGTTACAATTTGTTTTGTTGGTGTATTTTAATGTTGATCAAGATAGATATTTCTGTTAGATTGCTTTCTGTATTTTCAATTGTTCTGCCCTTAAGACCACCTTATTGACGCTTAAGGGTACAAATTATTTCTAAGTAACAAGCAATACTTACCCAAGTTTTATCCGTAATTAGAAGGAATTTTTTCCATGTGGGTTGCTTGCTGCCCACTTTTGTAGGGGATCGTAGCCTGAACATCCCTGCTGTAGTCTTTCCATAGCAATGCAGGATTACAGCAGGGGCAGTTCCAAAAGCGTATTTGCAAGCAGAAAGGCTGAAATAGGTCAGTGTGATGCTCCATTTGCTTTTTAAATCCTAGATAAAACATAAGAGTTTCAATCTCAAACTCCAGAGAGCGAGTCAGCAAGACGAACCAATAGTAACACAAACACACCACCCCAAAACAAAGCGAAAGCCTTTCTAGTAAGCCCCAACAGAATTCACAGTCATGCCTCACTGAGGTCTACGCTCGCTGCTTTCATGAGCAACATGAATTGGGATTTTTCGGTTTCTAATGGCACAAGCTAAAAGAGTAAAAGCAAAGGGAAAATCTAGAAAAGATTCAGAGAAAGCTGATGGGTGTAAAGACCAGACAGAGGCAATAAACACGTAGTTATCAGTAGGGAAACATTCTGTAAATAGGGAATATTTATATTAATATATATATAAAAATACATATTTTTCAACTAATAGTCAAAACAGGGCAGAAAGTACAAATGTAAGGCTACAGATACATTTGTACTACAACAGAAACACTTGCTGAACACTGAACTCTGCACTGGAGCTCTGAAACACAAAGAAAGAGAAGTCTAGAAAGGACTGAATCGGCACAAAAAGCCAGTTCAGAAACAAGTTTTTAAAGACACCTAGTAGAATTTTAATTTTTGCATTTGTAAGGCTCCTGGCTGACAGTGACAAACTACTCACAAATCAATGAAAAGTGTATTTGGAGCAGGCTGAGGAAAAACAGACAAGGCAGAAAAGTTCAGTGCTGTGAAGGACTGAGAGTCACAGCTTGCAAGGATGTCATTAGCTGCTCAGCCAACAGAAACATTTAATCTCATTTTTTAGGAGAACAGAGCAAGAAACGTTAACATCGCCCTTCGCAACTACCAGATCCTAATGCACGAAAGAGATGCACTTAAGATACCTACATTCAAAACAAATGAGTGAACAACATAGATACACAGGGACCAGGAAACCTGAATGGGTGCAGGACTGGAAAGGACTTGAAAGCAGGCAGCACAACAGAGATTCGGGACTATGGGGAAAGCATCCCTGAAGGCTGACTCCATGCACAAGAGAAGACTTTCCTGGGGCTGCCCCGATAGCCAGATGCAACGAGCTGCTCCAGAGCTCTGATCAGAGCACTAGCCTAGGCAGATGCCCTGAATCACCCATTTCCTCAACCAGAGGCCTTTGAGAGTGTCCTCCTAGTCCACAAGGTACTTGAAACAAAAGCTGCTGATTAACCTCAGATACCCTTTCCCCATTATAGCAAAAAAGAAAAAAAAAGGATTTGGCAGAATCACAGAATGTTAGGGATTGGAAGGGACCTCGAAAGACCATCTACATGGTAAACAAGATACTTAACCTATTCATAATAGACACATAAGATGCGAACATATGCCTAAACATGGCTGAAAATAGGACTTCAGCTTCTCAGTAGCTTCAAAGAACATTTTCAAGAATACATAGCAGGTCAGTTCCTCAGAAGCATATGGTGAAAATGGCTGGACTACAAAGAATCATGAAAAGATCAAAGTGAGATCTTGGAGAAAGTCTGTCAACAATCTTTATTAAAATAGTCTGTTGTTGCTAAAACAGTTTTGTTAAAAAGGCACAGGATTAAGTCTTTCCAGTTTTCAAGTTTGGTGTGATGAGACACAAAGTGAGTTCGTTTCATTTCTCCTTCCTGAAGCTTTCGGGGGATTTACAACGGGCAGCTGGAGCTCCCCCATACATACTTCAGCGATAACTATGTCTGTTCAATTCATAACTTAAAGAAATATGATTTTAGTTCCTGAGCACATTGTGCTGAGCATCTCATTAACACCCTGCCAAGAGCACGAGAGAACAGTAACAGCCTTTCATGGGAAAGCTCAGAATGCATCAGCTGCGTTGAGTTTGTGGTGTGTGTAAGACTAGCACTACCTGGAACAGAAAGCAGCTCTGTACGTCAAGGATGAAGTGTGGGAGGTAAACAGGACACGTATAGCAGAGTTTATAGTGTCTCTGCCTGCCTAGAGCCAAGTTTTAGTCCGAGCTGATTTCCTCAGACCTGGCTGAGGCACAGAAATCCAAATCTTGCCCCTGGGTGCTCTGAGCACACAAGTGCAGATCGATGACAGTAAAGGCAACAGGATTTATGATCCCTTGAGTGCCTGTGCGCTTCCCACAACTGGTCTTCAACCTTTCACAATTCGAAGCAGATGGACAAAACTCAAATCAAGCCAACAAAGGCAAAATGTACAAGCCCACAAAACCAACTTAACACTGATGCTTGGATCCATCTGTTGTGTACCACGGCCTCTAAACTCTAATTTACACTTCCTGACGTGTAAAGTCTGGACGTCCTGAAATGCAAAAGACCACTTTCAGACCTCATCATCTCCCGCATCCCCCTGCACACATGGTGCCTTTTGGGCAGCACTTTGGTTGCTGTTTTGTTCTGCACAATGTGCTTGCATGACCTCATCCTGCCTTTTTGCTGAGCCAAGACCACTGCTCATTTACTTCAGCAGAATACCTCTTCCGCATCGTTTGGGACAAAGAACAATGTTCCAGAAAGACAATTAGTATTATTGATCTTTCTAACTGCATCATAATGTGTTCCACCTCAAAAATCAGCCAAATGGAACCAGAAATACAAATCACAAGCTTGGTCTGCATTACTCATCCTTTGCATCATGTCAATATCAAGAAGGAACTGAAATTATACCCTCTTTCTGTGAACTGCATTTAAATCAAATGCAGCACATCCCAGGGCATGTTAACGAGTAAAAAGAAGAAAACACTGCTATTGCAAGAATGGGTTAACACCCTTCTTTCTGGCAGGATAAACTGTATTAAGAGTTTTCCTCTGGGCATTTTAGTTTACCTCTTTGTGCCGATTGTTAATTCCACAGTCTCTCCACACTAGAAATCCCTGGAGCTTGTCACCCTGTCACAAAAACACTGCACACGCAGAGAGAACTGCTGCCAGCTGCGTGTTCCAGAGCCTACCACATTGAGCCCCCCTGCTCCAGGCATTATTCCCACGTCAAACTCACTGACTACAAAACATTTCAGGGATCAGCCAGGTAGCCTTGACCAGCAGTGCTGGTGCACACCCTGTGTGCCAGTTTCCCTCCCCTACCACTTCCAAGAGAAATAAGAAACGAAAATAGTAACGGAAACAGTAAATGACGAGGTAATTCCTACAACATAAACAGAACACATCCATACAGCTCACCAAACTGCTCTTCTTTGCAGAACATCCAGAGCTGTTTGTGGGTTTCCAGGATAGAGGCAGTAGCTCTTGGTTCCTCTGCTCAGGCTCTGGAAGTCTTCTACAGTCTGATCCCTGGAAACAACCAGACTAGTGACCATCACTGGTTCAGCTAATCTGTTCTACCAAGTTGTCCTGGCTTAGGGGCGATCGTAACAATCCAGTGAGACATCACGGCACCTCTTCTAAAAAAGATAAACTTTAATCCTTGCAAGCGGCAGATCGTGCACTCCTAGCCAGCTGGATTCAACCACATAGAGCAGGCAGAATTCCCACCCTGCGCACACGGCCTGTTTCCAAAACACATAGATGCCAATTAAAAGAAATTCCAAGCAGCCAGGTAGAACTCCACTTCCATTGCGTATGGCATTGCCAGACTTGGTAACTGCTGCAACAGACTGCAATACATGAATTAACTGAAAACAGACACACAGTTCTGGTCATGTAGTAAACCAGTGTTTTTATAAATGCTTGCTTTCTTTTTGGACATGTGAAATCCCATGAAGATTAAAAAAACAACCAACCAACCCAAACACAAAACCAGAGACCTCGATACAGCTTCCTCTCAATTTGTTTTATTTGGCAAAGTAGCAATTCAGACAGTTCACACAGCATTTATTCAAGCTCTTCAAATCTTCTGCACTTCAACTTGTCCTCTTCTCCAAGAAGTTTCTACTTCAGAACCATCGCTCCACCATGGAAGGGTTTTCATTTTCCAATTCCTAAATGCTACTCCTGGATACTCCTTTCTGGCTGAGTACCTTGACTATCGCCAGCCCCTTCAGTGGAATGGGTGCACTAATCCCAACAGCCTTGGTCCCTGAAGTCTTACACCTCCTGAAGTGGGTCTCCCAAAAAAAAGTTGTCGCCGAATCTCAGCTTTATCACCTCTTCCGAGTTAGGCTAGCTTATTACACTGCGTCCAGAGACAGGAATTTGGATACAGTTGAGCTCATATCTTTCAATTAACTGATTAAGTTAGTGAGAAGATGTAAATAAAGCTGAACTCAAATTGAATGATACAGTGACCAAAAGGTTGAACATTAGCATGCATCATTTAAGATATTTCACTTCAACACCAAGAACTAGTTTCACAGTTGATTGTGGGTTAGTACAAATTTGTCAGACACAAGTGGGTTTTTCTGAATTGTATTTTCTAGAATACATGCTATATTAATTCTTTTATAGCATTATCTTTGTGTATGTGCTCCCAGGCTGCAGTCAGATCAGGAGGTGGTACATTAACTTCCAAACATCTATATAAATTGATACACATCTTTTACACAGGAATAGGGTGGGGCTGACCTTCAAAAAGAAGGTTATTTCAAATGTTCCTGTTTCACATTCAGAGGCCTTTGAATTTTAACATTTATGCTTTCAGGGATTAATCCTATCACAAAATTACTGTTGTTCCACCACGAACAGTTAAACATACTTTTGCAGTGATCACTATGGGTTGTTTTATACAAGTTATTTTCTTCTATAATCCTTTTTACCATAAAAAATAAAATAATGATAACATGCTGTTTACTTTAATTCCTGGTTGCTCAAATCAGAGCAAGATGACTCAAGACACACTTCCCCCCTTTCCCAAAGCAGATAACCTTACTGTACTGCTTTGCAATTTTCTGTTGACATTTTACAGTCCCAAAGCAGAAAATTGGGGCAGAAAAAAAGGTTTATAGCCTTCCAACCACTGTTCTACATGAAAACTGAACAGGTGCATCTCTATCTGTACTTACAAGTGTAGGATTTGTTATTTCTTCTGAATGTATCATGTTTTCCTCATACAGCAATTAAGAATTCACTTTCTAAAAAGTCAGAATTTTTCCTGGGTGCCCACAGTGAGAAAAATGAGAACGTTAATACAGCAAATGGCTTTGCCAAAAGCAACTTTCTTTCAGAACCAAAAGATTTTATTTTTTTTTAATATTAGCAATCCATATCTCAGTAGTCTACAACATACTGATCATAATCTTCCACACAAGCACATAACTCCCCTTTTGCTTTTCACTTTAGTTGGCAAAGCAGCACTGCATAAACTGTTCAGTGATTGGGACACAGCTTAAATCATATTTATGGAATTAAATCTATGTGCATCACATCAGCAGTGAGCTATAAACCAAAACTGAATTTCAAGACTCCATTAACTCATTTTAGAAGGAAAGGGAAAACCATGTCTGTTCTACCCAACTTGAACAGCAATGTTTGATAAGAGCGGCCACCCACCTCTGTTGTCTTAAAGTTTAATATATACAAATGCCTGGTTTTAAGGTAATAAAGCAGCTGATGGTATCTACTACATGCTAGTCTATGACACCATGTCAAAAGCTTAAAAAGGAAGTTCATCTCCTTTTAGTAGCATCTAGCAGACATCGGAACACAGAAAACCTGGTATTACCTACCTAGTGTCATAAGGTGCACAGAAGCAGTTTTACCAAGGGACACAGGAGCAGAGAGAAGTGAGTGTTCAAGTACCCCCATCAAAATTAGAGTTCACAAGCTGTAGGTCTTTATCTGCAGTTTTGCAGAAATTCACTTTGAACAGATGAAAGTAAAATAAAGGCATGTTAAATAAAACAGTGCCCACATAAAACTTTCCACCATTTCTTTATCAGATTTGCCTTGAGCATCTAAAAAAATAAAACAAACACCACGCTTTTCCATGCTGATAACAACTGTATAACGAAGTCCAAAACAAGCTGCAATGCTGTTGGTTTTCAAAAAGCTTTTAGAACTGGAGATGAGCAGTCCACTGTAACACTATGTTTGGGTCAAGATGATGTAGCTTTTACAATTCATCCCTGTAGAAAGAAAATACATGCAGTTATGTTTCTCTTCCCCTTGGAAAACATATCTGAAAACTTTTGATACTGAATCAGATTACATTTAAGTGCTCAAGCACATCAGCAAAACCTTGTATGTCTCCACAAGCATTTAAAGGGGCTGGGGGGAAGGAAAGGCAACAGCAATCCCTTACCATCTCACATTATTATGTGATGTATCATGAAATATGGGTCCCTCTATTTTGCATTTTATGGATCATTTGCTTTAATGAACATCCCCCACACCACGCAGCTAGTTACACAGCTACCTGTCATCCAAACTCTGTTGGCTACACGCTGGCAAGAAACTGAGCCAACTTACTCGACGGACTCTTGGCAAAAAACTTTCTCTGTAGCTGCCAAAAATTTAGCTTCAGCTGCAGTCTCTTAAGAAAGCTAGGAACACAATCTCACCTCAGTGTTGTGCAGTTTGCACCACCTATGTAATTTATTTCGCAGAGGAGCTCAATTAGCTCCTGAAGGAACTATGCTAAATCAGGACTAGGTTATGAAAAGGGTGGGGGCATGTTAAGAGGAGTTTCAGGTAGGAGAAAGGATGCATCAAGAAGTCTCTCTAAATCACTATGAGACATCTAGAAAATGCAGGCTTTTGTTCCTGCAGGACAGTTAAAACCCACTGAAACAGGACATCCATAGAACCCATATTCCAAAAGTGAAATTAGCATACATTACTGATTTGTTTAAATGTTTCTAAAGCATTAATTTTAAAACAAAATGTCCGACAAATCTGGAAGCTGAGCACCGTGCTGTTATGAATACTGGAAAACTCAAACAGAAGTGTTAGCTTTTTTTTTTTCTTCCCCCAAGGCACAAGTGATCTATAAACTCACAATGAGTTTGCTGCAGTTTTTCTTTTAGTAGGTGCATCACCCTCATTAGGCAAAGCAAACACTGTCTGAATTAAGAAAAACTTCACTCATGTGATTGCTGGCTCAATACACAACAGTATTTCCAGCTATCATGCAAACTAACCCACAAAAACATAGTGCTACATGCACACAAGCAAAAGCTTTAACGTTACAAAGGCATTATCCTTTGGGAACCATACAGCATGGAATGACAGCATGCAAAACATTTTAAAAGCAACTAAAAAGGCAGTTGCAACTAGTGCTTACATGACTAGTTTTGTATCTAATGCAGCTGGGATGCAAACTCTGTGATTTGTTAGGGATAAATATTTGCATTCTTTGCACTTTGCACTGCCTTCTAATAGTGAGGTACTAATCGTACAGCTTCAGAGTGCTGCAGTAATTACAGAAAGAAGAAAAAAGTAGAAGGGGGAAAAACATATCTTGGCTGGGGTAAAGAAAAATCTGTTTATAGCCAAAGGTTTGGAAGTTCTCCATATTAACCTATTTCACAGAATGGGTATTTGCTTACTTTAAACAGATAAAAATAAATGAACATCTGATACTCAGTTTAAAATGCAGTGCCAGTGAATTCAGGACAAGTACTTCATTCATCCTTAATGCTTCCAGGAGCTGCATCATCAGTTAATATTTACAGCTTCAACAAGCATATGTAAGTGACGACTACTGCTACAGCTGGTTCAGTCTCGTATGCCCAATTGCTGATGTGATTTTCATCCTGATTTCTACCATATCTTCGCTTAGCTTTGTAAAAGCCTGGCCTCTTACTGTGACAAGTAATTCTTAATGCTTTAAACCCAAGCTAGATCCTCAAGAAATTGTAAGCCTACATGCCAATATTTTAATTGTTGGTATTTCATATTGCTTTAAGCTATTCCCGAACATATAATAATGTTCCTTTAAGTTTATACTAGATGTCACTTTCAAAATAAAGATTTCCATATTCTGTTTATTAGAACATTTACTGTGTTAAGGGGATCAGCTTCCCTCAAGAGATTTTTCACTTGCACTTCACTACTTGTTAATCTAGCAACAGCATGCCAGCCCAAAACAACCCATGATGTATGTGTCAAAATTATGCTGCATTGAATTTCTACTGTTAGGAGAAGATGAGTTTATATGTGCACTATTGGATTATATATATTTTAAAGTTACAGAAGAGTCCTAGATCATCAGGTAGGTAACACTTCTCGGCTATCCACCTAATGTGAACAGCTTGCAGACTTAAATACTTCTTGCAAAAGAGCATCAGCTGATTTTAACTTCAGTTGCGTGGATCAGAAGCTGCCAAGCTATGAATTCTACCAGGTTTCAACTACTGGTAAAAACCAGGACACTTCTCTATCCTCCCAGTGGTTAAAAAATTCTATCCTGCTACAAAGCTTAAAAGGAGACTCAAAAGACAACTGCTATTCTCTCGTTAAAAATATCCCATTGTCCTCTAGAGCCACAGGAAGGACTTAATTGATTTTATATTTCTCCCTTTTTATAGCCACAACTATTTGCTGTGATTCTTACACAACTCGGGTAATTTCCCTCCACCTTCATGTATGTATTCCTTGCAATCTGCTTACTAGCTCCTGCTTCATAAGCAATATATATATTTTTAGGCTTTAAGGTTTTAGGATTAGGTTTTAAGTCATCACAATAGTCCATCACACCTTAGAATTCTAGCAAGAGAATCACTATTAATATTGTAAACTGAGGTATCAAAGCAACCTTATAAACTCAAGTTAAAGCAAATTTCAGAAGTCATTAGCTCAAAATTACTATTCTAAAAATAAATTTAAGCAAGTTTGAAAAATTTTGGCTTACTAGTAGGCAAAACATATACAGGAATATTCCACACTTCCCATTGGGAGTATCCAACAAACTAAAAAGCATTCTCGGGAAAATGTAATAGGTGGCATTTGAGGTAAATGTCAGATTTCATTATTAAAAAAACCCCAAAAACCACACAAATCTTATCAACAATAAGAAATAACAGAAGTTTGGGATACAGGTAGGTCATGAAGTTTTGCAATATGTCTCCATCTCTTTGGTGGAAGGCATTCAAATTAAATATTTGAATGAGCATTTATAAATTTATCTGCAATCTGTAACTCACTCTTTTTGATCCACTTCAATTTTCTTGTCATTAGGCATTTGGCTTTCCCTTTTTGATACATCATTCATCTATGAAAAATGTGCTGTCACAACCAATACTCTTCTTCTAATTCATACTAGGCTACACTCTGAATTTCAGTATCTACTCAGTGCTTCAGCAGCCAATTATTTCTCCCTTTGTAATTTTAAAGGTAACCAGACACTCTATTTGGACCTGGAGCATTTGAATCTGGAAAGGAGCTGTTCTGAAGTAGTATTTGCTATGATCAGTTGTCAAATTGAGAGGTTGAAATGACAAAGAAAAGGAATTTTCCCCGCAACCTATTATATCAGTTACATCACATGCATTTTTGCATAACACAAATTTTAAATTTAGCCTAAAATATTTTATGCAGAGATTCTTTTTGACAAAGTAAAAAAAAAAAAACCCTTTAACCATAATCATTACTCTGCATAGCCAAAAGAGTTCTGGGCAAACAATTCCTGCTAATTACAAGTGAAATTAGACAACTAGCTCATCAGGAACATTTGAAACACTGAATAAGAGTTTCTAAGCAGAAACATTAAAATGTTTCCTAATAAATGTTTTCCAAAAGGGTGCTTAATCATGTTGTACGTACAGCTGAGATACAGTAACAGCCCAGCCTAGTCACTGCATTTTTTGCTCAGAAAGGGTATACTGTCATTATAATTTTGTATTTTATCATCAAATAATGAATTTAGCATAACATTTATAAATAACTTCTACTAATGCAATATTTTAAGTTAAAAAAAGTAATTTGTTACCTTTTTAAAACAGCTGCCTAGTTGGAAATAAAATCCACGATTGTAACAAGAGACTCATTGCTAAGCATTCCTTACATTTTTATTCTCTTTAAATTGTCTCTCCATGTAAGCAGTAAGTGAACTCTCCCAGAGAAGTAAAACCAGAGAGATCCTAATTTACACAAGAACTGCCAGTAAGATAGCCAATAAGCTGTGTTCTCAACTGTGCGATACTAGAGGTCTTCTCTCCTCCCTACTTATCAGTAAGAAAAGAAACAATTAATAATTGAGAAGTTTTCTGTGAAAGGATAAACATCATTGCCAGCAACTACTGTGGGATCTCTGGTACACTAATGCATTTCATTTTGTACCGGAGATAGGGTTCCTGTGCATATTCTACTTCCAGATGTCTCAGAATCAAATTTGAGAAGATTCCCACTAATGTTTGGAGCTTAAAAATACTACTGCAGCTGAACCCAAACTAGAAAATTATGGACTAAATTTAAAGAAATCCAACAACATTCACAAAATAAGATTCTTTATTAAGCACCACAACACTGATTTATTAAAATCCAAGGAGTCCCTTTCTTCCAGCTAGCCCAGATTTTCTTTTGCTACAAGTTCCAGTTTTACATAATGAAGAGTGATGCAAAGTGTCTGAAGGTAGGTGTGACCTCAAACACCACTCAGAGATCAAGCCACTGTTGTGCTGCTTCGTAAACAGCACCCTGCAGCCCCTAGTAAGGGACTGTACTAACCTCTTCAACATGTGAATAGGTAAGCAAGAATTCAAGTGGGTTCCTTCTCGCCAAATGGAAGGTCTGCCAGCCTCGGAAATTGCTGCTGACCTATCCATTTTATTTTTGTGAAGGGACACCAATTCTTAACGTCATGAAACCGTTACCAGCGTTAAGAATGAAACTGCATAACAAACTAAGAGGATGACAAGCTAAACACACAGGATTCTTGAGCTACTCTAAAAAAGATGATAGTTCAATTAATTCTATATTTATAACAACTATAGTATCTCATACACTACAGCTCTTTATTATATAAAGATTTAAAGATGCTGTTTCAGAGGAGTCTCTAAGTGATCTCTGCTCACGGGTCTTCAACAATTTAAGGAAAGTTAAACTAAAATCTAAAAAGTGCAGAAAAAAATACCTCTTTCATCTTTGATGCTAGCGTAGACAACAAATGCTGAGTTGTTGTTGCTAATTAGGAGTTTCCTTAGCAGCAGCTGGCTGACCCTACACTTTGGACTCACCGATAAGGAAAAACAGAAGACAGATGTGATCTCTGGTAAGGTCAGCAGTGCACTGGCAGTTATCCTTGACAAGGGAATGGGAATTCTCTTCAGATCACAAAAAGGACAGTTAAAGAAAAAACAAACACTACAAGAAGTGGACTTCTGAGATTTCCTTTAACAGAGGTTTCCAAGACTAAACCAAATTTAAATGCACATAGCAAGAAATAGCCTCTATGCCACGGTAGTGATCAAGGTAACCCTTCAGGCTAAGGCTAAGCACTTACCTTTTCTGATAACACCAATGTATATTCTTAACACTTAAATTAAAAATAAATAAATAAAATCAAGAAGTATTTCAGAAGAGAATAGAAATTGGTAAGAAAATCTGGGGAAAAGAACCCCATGACACTCATAACTGAAGAGGGCCCAAAGACCATCTACTATTTCTTCCTGAGCTAGCAGAGAAAGAGTACAAAACTGCACAGAAGAGATGCAAAGACCTTAGAATTCTAGTCCTTCATACACTACACCACCTTCACTAGCAGCAAAGGATAACCACTGTCATTTCAGAAACCCTTCAATAATCACTATTTAGAAGAACACACATTGCTGCTATAAAAAACCCCAAACAATTGCTACTACAATCAGATCAGGTAGAAATGCAGAAAAATCTGTAAGGCGTCTCTGGAAAAAGGAAGGCTTAAGAAGAATACTTCTCTTTTCTGGAGTAAGCAGAGCATGGACTCTAAACTTGAATAAAGTCCACCCCATTTGCCAGAGGAGGGAACAGACCACAAAGCGAGACTTCCAAAGCTTTACAAGAGGCAGGAAACCCCTGAGTACCACACTGAGGGAATAGAATGTTAGGGATTGGAAGGGACCTCGAAAGACCATCTAGTCCAAATCCTGGCAATATTTGAGGATAAAGTATTAACTTGCATAACAAATACAAAACATCTGAATAGCAAGCATGCTTCACAAGCTTTGAAATTAAGAGTTACTGTTCTAAGAGTAACTTGTACATGGTGGCTATACAGTATTCCAAGAAACACTGAAATGAAGTTTCAGGAAGCAGCAGTAAGGCAAACTGCTTTATTTATACTTTTCGTGGACATTTTGATAGTTTAAACTCTTTAAGTATTCATGTATCCAAATCACAACCTATACTCCAGAATATCAAGGGGAAAAAAACAAAACCAAAAAACCCTAAAGTTAGGAGTGATAAAGCTCAAAAGTTGTTTTCAGAACAAAATACACATCTCTGCACTTCATTAATGCAGATAATACATTCACAAGCTTTTCTGCCAGGAAGCAAAACAGGACTGCTGCTTTGTTCATTTGCATACTAATGCTAGAATGGTTTAAGCTGACAGCTGTGTTCTGTCTGTGTTACTGGCTGTTCAATTCAGCAAATTGGAATGTTTACTACCTCTAGAAAGGCCTTTGGAGTTTGCTGTGTTGGCGAACACAAATTATGTCCCCATCAGAGACAGATGACAGACTTTTAATAACATGTCTGAGACTATTTTCTGAACACTATTCAACTACATTCATACTCTAGGGAAGAAGGGATTTCCTTCTCCACTTTCTGCTACTTGGAGGCTGAGGAAAAAGTGCTCCCAAGATTGTTTATATTTCCCATAAAGGATTTTACAAAGATTTTTCTTCACTTGTGACATTTCAGAAAAATAAAAAACAAATACCCAATTACCACTAACTCACAGAACAAAACAATATTTATTCTTAAGTAATATTTTACACTTTACCCTAATTACTGGGCAAGCTAGTTATAAAAAGTTCATTAGAAGGGAACTTTAAATTTAGAAAAAACCTGTGTTCAAAACAACAAATAAGACACTTAAACACACCAAAGACTAAAGAAAACATGTCCAAAAGAGACAAAGTGCAACTCATGCAATATTTTTCTTCTGTTTTTAAATTAAGTCAAACTTAGCATAACCTCCTTTTGGTGATGTAGTAATGCAGACTGAGTCACTTTTCATGGTATGGAGGAGCAGAAAGCAATGACAGCAGCAAAGGCAGGCCTTGCAGTCTATCTGCTTAAAATTCACACCCTTTCACCTTGCGTGTGTGTGGAAGAAGTAAGTGGAACAGAAAATCACTTCCACCTGGACCACTGCTTCTCTTTATCTGTTAAAGGCACATATATCACTCCCATCAGAGGCTTCATTTTGACACTGCCATCTTCTAGCTTGTCATACTGTTCGAGCATCTGGTTTCCCCCTGCAGGACCAACTGGTAATATCAATCTTCCGCCAGGTTTTAACTGGTCTATAAGCTAAAACACAACACAGAAATTAGAATGTAACCAGTCACTTCAGAGAAGCTAGATCCAAAGTTTGTTACATTAGATTAATAGCTTTGCCACAATTTATCTGTCTACTATTATGCAGTAGCTAAGTAAGTACTTCAATCAGGAAAAAATAAAAAATGCACTGAAAATGAGAGTATCACAACAAAATGGTACAACAACTGGTATTACAGAAACATTCACAAGAGTTTCATATCATTCCAAAAGGTAAAACAGTAATTGGATTCACTAGGTTGGTTGCAGTTTTAGTTTCTACGTTAGAGGGGAAAAATATGCAAATCACTAATTATTTTTACAGTAGATTCAATCTTTTTAAACTGCCAGTTTTAGCTGTTTGATACTTATTGTGCATCAGCGCAGGCCCATTGTCTAACTGATCTCCCCTTAAGCCCTCGGAATAAGATTTGTGACGTTTTTTCTTTTAATTTATCTTCCTGGAATAATATTAAGTTGTCTACAATACACTCACTACCCAACAGCTTCTCTTTAATTCTGTAAATAGAACAGCATTTCATGAAACTAGTCTAAAATAGATGAATGTGAGTAAGATAAGTGATAAGTAACAGGGTATGGGAAAGAAATGCTTGGATTTATTTTTTTTTTTGCTTTCATAACTAGAGAAGGAGGCTAACCACAGTAGTCTCAAGGAAAATTCAGTACTTCCTAGATGCCATGAAAAAAATCTCAATCCCTGTTACTAATGAAAATTATAATTAAGAACTGTTTAATTCACTAATAAATTTTAAATTACCTTTTTAATTGTCATCTGTCAACACTTAGCTGGTAACACTCCCTCAAACACAGATCACAAAATAAAACAGAAAAATAAAACAAGGGTCCATGTCCGGAAAAGTCTAACCTGTATATAGCACCTCAAGCCTTCAGTCCTTCACTACCCATCATTAAAATTCACATTTAAAAAACTTAACTGGTATGTAGCATATCAAAATCATGCTAAATATTCCCATTCACCCGATGAAAGGAAGGGAAAAAAGAAAATATCTTATCTACAAGAAGGGACTTCATGTATGTACACTCTAAAGTCCCTGTTACTCTTCAGCTTCTCTAGTAAGAACTGCCCTGTATCCACCCTGAAAGCTATGAACACATGGCACTGTCTGTATTTCCAGCTGAGCACTTTACTTTTCCAACAGGCTTCATGCCTTGGAACCTGAGAAACAAATACTTAAATTTTGTAACTCAACATTTGATAAAATCAAATTAATTTATTCAATAAAATGTTCTGGTTCATTGTTTTAATAGAGGGTTGTGCACAAGTAATTTTAAAATATGTTTATTTAGAGGAGATTTATTAGAACATAGAGCTTTTGCAAACCAACAATCATAACAGAAACAAAAAAGCCCACACCATACAGTAATACTATCCTGCCCACTGATACTCCCAGCAGTGCAAGTCTACCAAGCATTTTACAGATACATGTATGTAAAATGTTCTTTACAGATAACAGATTACTGACTCACACACATAAAACAAAGGCTTACTGCTTGGGGCACAACTGGTGCTGCAGCTCCTACATGGATTGCATCATAGGGAGCTTCTTCTGCATATCCCATTCTTCCATCTCCCACTGCAAGAAAACACTTTTTAAAAATGTTTTTAAAAGGAGTGAAGAAAACAGCTGGTCTGCTATATCTATAGATAAGATAAACTATGCTTAGATTTCAACTAAAATTTTGCTGCATAGTAATAACGCCATGAAGTCAATTTAAAAATATTAACACAATTGTAAAACAGATGCAACAAGGCACCCTCATATGTACATACACACACTTGAAAGATATGTGAAATACTGCTGAAGCACTCAAAATTAGAAAGCATGGATTTACAACAAAAGCTCTTGGAGAGACGTGATCTACCCAGAAAAGATACTTAAATATTTATGTGCCCTACCATTCCAATGCAGGTGACTTTTCCCCTCATTTACCCCTGTGAGAACATATGCTTCGCTTTGCCTCGCCTTCACGCACACCATTCCGAACTACAGTGCAAATCATAAGCCTAAAGCATTAAATCTCAGAAGCACACAACAGAAAACTCCAAAGGTGAGGAAAAGACAAAGCAAGTATTCACATGGACCATACACTTATAACTGCACTACTGGTTGGAGTGAAAGTCCACACCCGCACCCACACATCAATGCAGCACCACGATAATCCCCACACATCCCCTTTGCCAGAGGATGGATCTTCCTACCTATCCTGCCTGCAGACAACTGCCAGATTAACATGGACAGCCAGGTCAGACCCGTGGCTAAAGCTCCAGGTGGCTGCTTGGAAGATGTTAGGAGTAATTAAGTTATTCAGAGGACTACCAGTGCAGCTTCAGCTTTGGTGAAGACCTCATGGAGAAGCACCCCCTATCACAGATGTGTCGTATCATCCCAGTTATGCAGGATGAAAAGGGAACAGATGTGGTTTTTAAGTCACTGATATGTAGCAAACTAAACTAGATCCCGAGTTTAGTTGCGAAAGATGATGATGTGAATGTGATATTCAAAGTATTTACAGGAAACCAATAGGAAAATTCAGAGCAAGTTAGGCAAGCTCTCTCTGGAGTTATTTAGGAACAGAAGTAGTAAATGAAGCTAAACCATCCAAGAAGAGAGCATGTTTCCCAAATAGCTGAGAAGCCCCTTAAAGCTCAGTGACTTATTTTTTCACAATATCAATTCTGACCAGTACAAGCTCCAATCAAAGGCTGCAGACAGAAGCTGCCGAGCAAGGACTACCAATGCTTCAAGAGAACTCATGCCTATTGATCCAGTTCCACTGTCAGCTTTTATTACTGTTGCCAGTAATGAAGATTAAAGTTCCAGTATTTCCAGGGCTTAATCTCTCTTGACTGCCAAAGAGGGTTCTACTGGAACAACCACCTCAATGCAGACAAATGTATAATTTCTATTTGCTTATATGTTAGCAGCGCTGCCTACCTCCTCTAAAGAAAAGTAGTGATGCATTACTGTATCAAGCCACTGTTCCATCAGAGAACACAATGGAGAAAGACTTTTAGCTCAAATATACAGATACTGCTTTGAATGATTTTAGCTACCCAAGGAGACAGACTCTCGTTCCCCAAGATGCAGCAGCAGGCATTAGAATCAGTCATCTCCAGTACTGCTGGCAAAAGAAGAGATTGCTAAATTGAAGAAACAGCTGTGAAAGAAACTGCTAAGTTGTCTTCTGAAGAACACACGTATTCTGAGATTTAAATGCACCTTGTGCACTGTCCAGAGAAATCCAAATGTGACTTCTCCACATCTTATCACTTCACTGGCAGTGGTAAAAAGGACCTCAAACTTCTAAACCCTTTGCTCTTAGAATCAATAGTCCAAACCAAGGTTAAAAGCTTCAGAATCAGCACACATCCACCAAAAAAAAAAAAAAAAAAAAAAAAATCATGCTTCTTTATATGCATCAAGCACAGCATGGCTCTTCCCTTTTAACATCCACAAAAATTCACCTGGCTACAGCAGTCATGTATATACCCACCCACAATGGAAAACCACTTTCTAGATATTCAGAAGACTTAAAAAAAAAAAGTTAAGCCAGCTTTCATATATTCAATGTGATACAAATTATTACATTATTCCATGTCTCAGAGGAAACAGCAGCCCAAATTTTGAGCATGTGTGTACATCCTGAATAACATCACCCATCCTACTGAGGTCTCTAGTTAGATGCAGCCTATTAATGAAGTAATCGTGGTGGTGGGTGGCAGGTGGTGATGAATGTCAGGACTTTCTGGCACAAAAGGGTTTTGTAGCTTGTTTTTGAACCTAGATCTGATTTACTATCATGGTACTCAAGCCTTCAATGTCTCTACGCAGACCTGTTTCACACAGAGTTGTAGCATGAGCACAGAAACAGAAGAAAACTACTTCACTGTGGTTAGAACATCCTCCTCCCCTCTGCCTACGTCTGTGTCGGCAAATAGTGCAGTACAATAGAAGCAGATCTGTACAGCAAAACAGTTTTTGCTGAGAACCTGATGTCCATGCAACATCTGCATTTCAGAATGATCACTCTGGTCTAGTTCTAGTCTTATTGGCTTAATATCCATTAACATATCAAACAGATTTGGTTGCTTCTCAGAGCAAATAATTTCTAGTTTCAGTCTAGTTTCATTCAAAAGGAATCAAAGTTTCTGCTCTCCAGGAGTATTCACAAGTGAGCCAAAGTGCAGTAAGTGGAAGCCATTGAGAGATTCACCTCAAAGGCACTTTCCTGATTTTAAGAAAACAAACAAACAAGACACCCCACATCAGAAAAAAAATCCTGAAACCGCACAAAGTAATATAGACACAGCCTAAGTGTACCTATTCCCAAGTTCTCAGTTCAGTTCTATTACTGAGACACCCCAAAACAATGTTGATGCTTCTGAAATGCAGTTATGGCATATCTGAGGTGTGACAAAGCAATGGAGAATGTTTGAAGTGTACTTGTGAAAAGCCAGCAACTGATTTGCCTATCTCAGTGAAGGACACTGCATTTTATACATGTGTACAAGTACTTCTGTTGATTGGCTGACTTAAAAAAGATTTAACAAAGTCCCTAACTAAAAAAAAAAAGAAAAGCCCAAGAATTAAAATGATAATTAAGAGCCAAACATCATATAATAATTTTTCCAAGTTCTCTTGTAAGAACCTTCAAGATACTCCAGACCTTCAACTTTTTAAAATTAACAAACAACGATAACAAAGGGAATGCTTTCATCCTACGCTGTCCTTGTATAACTTTAGCATTATTTCCTCTCAGTAACTCTGATAGAATTAAAGTAGTTTAGTGTCAACTAATCACCTCCCTAACATACAAATACTGTTAATTTTAAAAATAAGTGAAATAAACTTCAGTGATGCATACTGCCAATCCCGTACTTTTTCCACTCAAGTCTTTGCGTGCACTTTCAGTTACTACATCAGAACTACGAAGGCTTCGTTAAAACGCTCAAATGTAGATGACAGTACATTTATTCAAGAAAAGTTGTGCATTCAAACCCAATTTTAAATAGTAAATTTAACATGACAGACCTTCAAGCATGTAAAGTATTTTCATCAGCAAACACTTCCCTGTTAAGCTTCTCTAACAGAATTATTACATATTCTTTAAGATTACCAGAAGTTATAATCTCAAAAATAAAGATGGTATTTTTCAAAGGCCTAAAGACGACTTGGAATTTTAAACTTTCATTTGCCTCTTCTTTCTTTGGTTTAACTTCTTAAATTAGAATTTTTAATCACATCCAATTCCAGTCACTTTCAACCAGCTGCTAGAAAGAATACCAGTTTAATTAGTAAGTATATCAGTCTGATGCTCACCAATCAGTTTCACTCTTCCTGAAGACAGCAATGTGGGATCATCTTTTTTGACATTATTTATTGAGTCATCTACTAGTTCTTTGATATGATCAATTCCTACAACTTGTCCTTTGGGACCAACCTGGAATAAAAATATACAGTTGAATAATTTCTGCTAGTTTTGTTTTATTTATAGAATGAGTATTTCTATCTCCTGAGCCCATTTATCTAAAATAAAACCAAAACCAGTAAAGTGGCAGTATATTTTTTAATATTATTAGAGCTACTGCTTAGAATGACACATTCTGACTGCTAGAAGCAACTGGTAATTAAAGTTTGTCAATACAGTCTTATAAATGCTTATTATAGTCATCTTTTTGTGATATGATTCAATTAAGTTATAATATTAGTGGATATATCTTCTCTGAATTTTTAGAAGTTAAATTTGATCATGAATGTTTGCGTTACCTGCAATAGAAAGTAACTTCAAGGATAAAAACTAGAACTAATCTTCTTTCATGTTGAATAAACTTACATAAAGGTTAAGGTTTTTCTAGAGAAGACCTTCAAGGAAAACGGTAAGTCATGCATTCCGTTCTAAGTTATCTCGAGAGTCCTATTCTTTCAGAAGCAAATGCAGCAATTAATAGTCAGGGACAAACTACATTCTACCTACCCTTGCATTCATGAATCTGCTTTCAGATTTACAGCTCTCTTCCACAGGAAGAGTGGAACTTCTGAGAGCTCATAACTCACAAAAGTTCATAAAAGATCCATGTATTCTGAGGGGAAAAAAGGCTTACAAACAAAAACTTCTCCATTATAGCTATTTCTTCTGGAATTATGTCTTTATTCCATAAAAAAAATCTTCCAATTTTGGAGAGAGGAGAAAAACAATATAGAAAATAAATAACTGGTTATTGATATCATGGTTTATTATGGACAAGTCCTATGTTAAAAACATCCAAAGATCATTGTTATCTCTTCTTTTTCAAGTGGAAGACCACCAGCCTAGCCTTTGAAACAGAGCAAGATACATGGCAAGTTTTCACTATGACAAGCACAGGTTACTATTTGGAGGAGTGCCTGTCAGGAGGTTGTACCAGAAGCTGGCAAAAGATCCAGTGTAGCCCAACAGTGTAACACCCCAGAAATTAAAATTTAGCAAAATGGTTACAGCATGAAATAGCCCAATATAAAGTAAGAGAACCTCCTGCTGCATGTCACAGTCTGTTACGCTATTTCTAAGTCCTCAACAATTACCTCTGTCCACTACCCTGGAACTTTGAAGTGTATGCAATCAAGACAATCGCAAAATTGCACAATTTTTGGGATCTCCATGACCTGTTTGGAATAAAAATATACCCCACTCTTTATAATTCCGGTATTTACAGAATGAACACTACAATTCATTTAATTTGCCAGCAACCTTTAAAAGTGAATAAATTTATTTAAATTGTTTGTTATGTAGATAACTATCACAGCACTTTAACGTGAAAGCCCAAACAAAAATCTTAAAAATGCTTCACTAGTCTAACCAAACATAAAGCTTTCCCAGGAGTACCACAAATTAGATTAACATCATAGGAGCAAAGGTGTCATGACATCAGTGTATGCTCAGGTACTTGTTCCGCAAATGCCAGCTATTCGTTCTAGATCTCAAGTCGACTGAGAAGCTACATCCACATGATCCAGGAAGCACATCCCCAATTGAATTTTGATAGCAAAACACTTTACCATCACTCCCTACAATACATTTCTTTAAAGCTTTTGTTACTGTTAGAAAGAACTTAACAGAGAAAGAAAGTCACAGCAGTACATGTTGTCTTATCTACGTTCATTCAAGTGGATGAATTAAGATCCGTGTTGCACAGCAGTAACACTGTCAAACAGAACAGAAGCATTTATCCAGTGTTTCACAAAACAAACATCTGTAAGGCATTCCACAGCACACCAACAAGGACAGTTCAGAAGAGGAACATGGCATTCATACGGCAATAAAAAGATTGTGGGATTAACTTCAGCAAAACTAGAAAGAAATTTCCTTTCTGGGGTAATTCTGACTTTTCTGCAGTTGTTTTCAGCTATTCTTACATAGCTCTTTTAAAAGAAAAAAGTACACAGTCAAATCTGATCATATGTCTTACTGAAAATGGTTATTCCTATATGTATTTCTCACTAAAACGTTATGAATGCATAGAACTTTAATGAAAGTTTTAACACTTGTAGAACTGGAGTTCCTATGAATACTACTAGCACTTGATTACTGACTACGAAGTCAGAGCAAAAATAATAGGTAAAAAGTTGTATAAGTGTCACTTAAGATTTCCTCTAAACTGCTGTTTGGTTAACTTACTTCTACTACTTTTTTTTCTTTTAATTTTGCATCTAGCACTTAAAAAACCTCAATACTTTTCTTAGTGCATTGCCCATTCTTATCACAGGAAACCAGAAGTGATTGCAGACTCAACAGATCAGTGCTTCAAAAGAGAAAACTAAACAGCAAAAAAACCCACATAAGAATTTATCATATGCATCACTATATTCCAAATTAAATTCTCAGAAAGACCAAAAAAGAAAAAGTCTAGTTGGCAGTTTATTGAAGGTCTCTGCTAGTTATAAAGCAATTATAAAGTCCTAGAATGGAGAAGGAAGAACTGATCATATTTCACTACACAAATTAGTCTAACAGTACTGCAGTTCCAACCATCCTAACCCAAATTTTTTCATCTTTTTTCCTGATGTAAGATAGGGTGGGACTACAGAGAATTCCTTACATGCAGGCTGAACAACCCAGAGATTAAGTTACTTGGAAAAGATGTAAAAAGAATATAAATTAAAATGTAACTTAGAAAAGGTTAAATGGATACTTGTACCAATGTTCACGCAATATAGTAACAAGAAAAAAAAAAGATATTAAATTCAAAGATAATTTATATACATACAATATATTTTCCTATGGAAATAGGATTCTTTTAGATCTCACTAAGCTCCCATCATAGCAGGAAGACATTATAATTGATCATAATGAGAACATTTATAGCCACACAACATAATGTAAAAATTGGGCTGGACAAGACAAACATCTCCTTTCTTCAAGCTATAAAGCAACCACTAAAATGTGATCAAGAAAATAACCCTTCCGCTCTAGGCAGCTTCTTCACCACCACACAATTTACTGGACCCTTTAACTCAGCCATCTAGTATCAGCTAGAGTAAGAACTGAGTACTAATGACACAAAGGAGAGTAAATTATTTTCTGCACAATCTACATCAGTTCACTGTGCAAAGGGGGGGGGGGGGGGGGGGGGGGGGTCCCCTTTAATGCTACAGTTCAAGCAGTGCTGATGGTGAAGTGATTAAACGAAATATCTCACCATTCGTGAAAAGCACGCTGTAAGGATTCCACTTCCAGATCCTACATCAAGTGCTTTGGCTCCTTCATGTAACTGATCAGATAGAAGTTCAAGAGCGTATGCATGCTAAGAGAAGAAGACAGAAACAGAAAATTCCAAAATTTTAAGTGTCTATTTTACCCAATATATGTTCAATTCTTCAATGATTTCGGGCAATGCACTGAGGATTCGTGTAAGAAATTTCAGCATTATTTTCTATTACAAAGAAAGGGAGAGAGGAGTTAACTACACAATATAATCATTGCTATTTCATTGAGTTCAACAAATTGTGTGAGATATATACACTTTTTTTTAAAGTATATATAGATATAAACTCATCTGACCATTCAAGCTTCTAGCATACACTCAATTTAGATACAGTTATTGGGAGAGACACCATAATTTAATTCTCTTCAGGTCTGGTGATCCTTACTGTTCCAGCAGTGTATGGTCCATAAAGAATTTAGCTTATCATTATGTCATATACATTGGAATATGTCGGGACAAAGGCTACTTTGGAAGAAGATAGCTTTGGAGCAGTTTTGCTTTCCTACATGGTAGACCAGGACACCAACTAAGCTTAGGTCACACTGAAAAAATCCAATTCTTTAATGTTTCAGAGACAGCCATTACCACACTTATACCCTAATCCATCACACCCCCAAAAAACAGAATAATGAGAACATTTATTGTTAGAACATTTATTCCTGACTTTTGCTTAGAGGATACATGCTTTTTGCTCTTACACTTCATATACTACTAGTGTTAAGCATAGGATAATTCAAGGATAATGACTTAGGTGAGCTAAAATTTTGAAAACAGAATGACAACTTATTTTCTCATTTAACCAGAGTACTTCTTTCTATGTCTTTCCTTGAATAAAGTTATTAATATTTCTATATGAAATTCCTGATTTTTTTATACTGATAACTAGGTAAATGCTAAGGCAACTGGGTAGTTTTTAATCAAGAGGAGCAGACTTAGTATGTTTTAACACTTTCCAAACGTTGTAAGGACAAAATATATGCTTCTATTCATCCTTCATCTCAAAGGAACACAGAAAAGATTCTATGCTAGATTTAGGTGTTGAAATCCTCTCTTAATGCTCAGTCATGAATGGCCTGGTCTCAAACCACCTGGCAGAAAACTTGCATCTCAGTACAATATATATATATTTTTTCCCCTGTCCAAAGAATTAAAGGCATTACAGCAATACCATACCATAGAAATCACTGTTATCCACTCCTGAATTATTGTATTTTTATAAATCAGAGAGTAATTTAGGTTGGAAAGGATCTCTGGAAATCCTGTGGTCCAGCCCTCTTTCAACACAGAGGCAATTTAAATTAGTCTACTTCGAGCCCTGTCCATTCAGCTTATAAAGAACACAATTTTCACAATCTGCAAAACCTGTTCCAGTGCTTAACTAACTTCAATGGGATTTTTTTTTCTTTTTCACCCTAGAAACTAATCTGAATTTCCCACACTGCATTTTTTTTGTCCACCACCCCTCATCCTATCACTGTGCATGTCCAAGAAGAGTCTAGCTCTGTCTTTTCTGTGCCCTCCTACTACACTGTTCACAACAGCATCACAGCAATCAACCATTCATTAAATTTGCTAGGATAAATGCTTTATTTCAGAAGCATTTGGATGTTTATAAAATCACCTATACTAATCACATAAATTTAAAGCTTACCATATGTGGAGCACTGATTGTTGCTTGGAAACCTGTAAAACAAGAGAATGGAAGAACATGTTGATCACTGTTCAGACGGCAACCTTACGATATTTATTATCTTGATTGTAAAATGCAAGACCTTAATTGTCACCCTCATTCAGGGCCCTACACACACCCCCCCAACGGTTACATAAGTACTCTACTTCAGAAAGGAGCTGAGGTTTATCATCTGAAAGCTGTGTCATGTCAACTCTAGACAGGAAAAAAAAAAAGGTTATCCTTGATCTCAGTTACAACCTTACAACCTCCATTTTGCCACTATCCTGCCTTAGCTTGATCACGTATGTTGAATTCAGAAGAGTAATGTCTCCCAGAATAATGTAGTGCCTTTTTCACTTGGTCCCTATGTAAAAACCTGGATTTGTTAGTTTTGAGTTGAATGCATTGGGGACCATAAAACTTCTGGAGACAATAACTTCATCTGTTTCCCAAACAGTACACACCTATGAGAAAACACGGGAAAAACACTCACCTGCATTTGTTTCTGCAGAGATATATAAGCTTTTGAGTATGTATCTTAAAAGATTTTGGAATTCTGGTATACAACTTTAAAAAAAATCTTAATATAATTTATAGTTCTCACCACCATTAAAGGAAAAAAAAAAACAAAAAACCAACAAACAAGAAAAAAGAAATTAGTAGATTCACGTAATTCATTCTCCTGCCTTGGAAAGATAAAACTGGGATGTGGATGGGAAACAACTGTCCTAAGCAACTGTCCTATCAGTAAATCTTCCCATTTAAAGCCTATTTTCATATTTTAAAAAAATCTAATGTAAAGGTTTAAGAAACTCTGCATGTATCTCAACAGAATTGTTTCTGTAAAGAGAGACTATTTCTGACATAAACTAGATAAAAATAATTTTAAAGTATTTAAACATCAGCTGCACCACCACAAAATGCTGTAAACTAAAAAAATATATAATTTCACATATTAATATTGACAACAGAACATCTAACTACACAATGTATCCAAGTATGCCAACTGGATTCCATAACAAATTGAAACTTATTTAAAAGGTATTGAATAAACTGATAAAGAACTAAATAAAGTTTCCAAATTTAAAAAAATTATGTTCACATTGCTAACATATATATGATAAAGGCACAGTTATGCAAATTATAACAATTCAATCATTTTTACAAGATGCTCTTACCTATAGACTGTGGAGAATCCATATAAGGGTTGTATTTTGCATAGTGGCAACGGTCTGTAGCCAGCATTACTTCAAATACCTTATCTGATTTGATTATTCCATTTTCTATAAATAAACAAATAAATAAAATTAAAGGCATTGTTTCTCTTCTGCAATGCAAGAACATGTGAAATACATTAATATATTTCTAATATTGTGAGAAACCATGCTACCTTACCCACTCTAACCCTCATCATACTAGAATTTAAGCTGTGGTGCATATAGATCAAACAATGCTTAAGCCACTGAACTTTCAACAAGACTTTCCCAGGAGTTACAGATGCTTTTCTGAAACAGTAGAGACCATCTGCAAAGATCTACTCCCTAGAAAAACTCAACTTTATGTACACCTTTGATATTCCTGAAAACATAGTCAGTAAGAAACTGGTATTACTCTACACACCAAACAAAATATACTTCATATTTCTAAGAAGCTAAGTGAGTAATTATTGAAAAATATACAAAAACAAGTTAGAAATGTGAAGCTGCAGCATCCTTGCTCAGTATTTTATTTTCAAGATCTGTTTCTCTTCTGTTAGCAAAAGAAAAAAAACCCTTTTGTAAAGAACCTCCTACAGAATCAGAATTCTTATGCTGAGGCCAAAGAGTTTTTTATATCAAAACACTCTGAATCTTTGTTCATTTTTCAAAATAAAATGTAAAAAGCACACGCACGTAAAATGTCAGAAGCACTGTGCAGTGCAGCCACTTTTCCTTGCAATTTTACTGAAGTTTTGTTTTCACAGTAATAACGCTTTTTTTTTTTAAAGTTCCGAAGAGACATAAGTAACAGAAAACTTTGGAAAACAAAAGGACAAAATTAATCACTTGCATTAGAAGAGAGTATAAACTACAAGTAACTGAAATTTCAACAATGGGTTGCTTCATTGAACTATTTACTTTAAACAAGAAGGATTTATTTGGAAAATTATACTTAAAAGGAAAAAAAAAAAAAAAAAAAGATAATTTGACTACTTTGAAAATCTAACCCAAAATGCAGCAACATAAAAATCAGATTAAGGAGCTTTTTTAAGATTGTCCTAACTGCAGTCTGCAGTCACACCTGGTTTTTTTTTTAAAGTACTACCAACACTAAGACACCAGTGCCCAGGCCTGGGCTAACTTCTACAGAGGCCTCCCTGACTGTTTACAGTGTGCTCCTAACTACCCTTATCAATCATGGAATTTTATTTTGTTTTTTCTTATCTACTACCTGTGCCCAGGATTTAACTATCCTTTATAACACAGGCTTGAATTCAGAGAGTAAAATAACTCCCCTCAAAACATTTTGCTTTTTGGTCTGAAGACAAAGTATCAAATAGAACTGCAACAGTAATATACTACTAAATTATTATGGAAAAGAAAAACATGCCAACAACTTGTAAAAAATATTATTTTTTTAGAATTATTTCTATATCTGATAAGTCAAAGTATCAAACTGCAATTATGTCTATATCTGATAAGTCCCAGAAAAAGCACATACTCCCCTCACAGACCACACATTACACATATCCTGTGCTTTGACTTCATTTAGAACCGTGGACTACAGTCCCAGTTGGAGCAAACTCCTCACGTCCATGCAAGGTTTTTAATCGGAGACAGCAGGCATCTGCAGCAGTTCCTAAATTTACTTACTAAGCAAAACCTGCTGGGGGGACAAAGGGACTGAGAGAAGCCTGCAGAGAAGGACTTGGGGGTACTGGTGGACGAGAAGCTCAACATGAGCCGGCAATGAGCGCTTGCAGCCCAGAAAGCCAATAACCGTATCTTGGGCTGCATCAAGAGAAGCGTGTCCAGCAGGTCGAGGGAGGTGATTCTTCCCCTCTGCTCTGCCCTGGTGAGACCCCACCTCAAGTACTGCATCCAGTTCTGGAGCCCCCAACATAAGAAGGGTATAGACCTGCTGGAGCAAGTCCAGAGGAGGCCACGAGGATGATCCGAGGGCTGGAGCACCTCTGCTGTGAGGACAGGCTGAGAGAGTTGGGGCTGTTCAGCCTGGAGAGGAGAAGGCTCCAAGGAGACTTACCACAGCCTTTCAATACTTGAAGGGGGCTTATAAGATAGATGGGGACAGACTTTAGCAGGGCCTGTAGCAACAGGAGAAGGGGAAATGGTTTTAAACTAAAAAAGGGTAGATTCAGACTAGATATAAGGAAGAAATTTTTTATGATGAGGGTGATGAAACACTGGAACAGGTTGCCCAGAGAGGTGGTAGAAGCCCCATCCCTGGAAACATTCAAGGCCAGGCTGGACGGGGCTCTGAGCAACCTGATCTAGTTGAAGATGTCCCTGCTCACTGCAGGGGGGCTGGGCTAGATGACTTTTAAAGGTCCCTTCCAATCCAGAGTATTTATGATTCTGTGAAATAAATTCATTAACACACTGGCACTGAAAATCTAAGACAGAAAAAAAAAAAGTTTTTCCCTGATCACTCAGAATTAGTTGCATATCAGTTCTGTGAACAAAGCATAGAAACAAATAAACAAAACAAAAAATAAAATCAAAATTTACTGTTGTATTCTTGTTAGGTATCACTAAGAAATTAGTACCTCCAAAATAAATGTACTTAAAAAAAAGATAGGCAGGAGAATAAGCAAAGCTGATTATAACAGGCATGAAGAGATAAAGGTTCTGGGAAACAGAAGGGGTGATCAAAAAGCAGCAGCTGCGAAGCATTCAGGAAAGCTCAAAACCAGTGATTTATTCCTTGAGACTGTATTGTGCAGATAGATGCATACATTCTAGAAGCTATAGGTAGCCATCTGCTCTTTCCTTTTGTGCCTTGGGGAAAAAAAACACACAGAGAAGACACAGATCAAGCTTCCAGCTTGAAAGAGCAACTGCAGAGCTCTATGGTAAGGCCAAGAACCTCCCCTAGTTTTCAGGAGACCTTCTCTGTACTGCAGGCTTCTTCCAAACCTCCTCTTTCACACTACTCCCTCATCTACTCCCCTCATCTTTCTACTTAAGAGTATCAGTAAGAAATTAACCTCTCAGCATTTACAAATTTTATTCTGTCTCCATTCTATTACTTATATTTTTTTACTCATTCTTCCTCCAACTCTTTTAGTCAGAGTATAAGAGCTCCATGGCAGAGATTGTCTGGGGACATCTCTGCAAAAAAGCACAAAACTTTGTTTCAGCCAAAGTACATATAACTTTATCAAGCATGATGCTTACACTGACAGGCAAATGACCACAAAACCCTGAAAACAGTAGCTACTATTATTCTACAAATTCTGAACATTCGGGATGCTCTCATTCAGCACACACTCCTGAGATTTGCTGACTGTTGCACTGTCTTTGGTTAGTGTCACCTTTTTCATCAGTGAACAAGAAGCTAAGCACGTTACCCTTACTCAGAGTTCCCAGCAGAACCAGGGGCAGAAGCTGGATCTCCTGTCTCAGACATGTACTTCAATTATTGAATAATGCTCCCTCTTCATAAAAAAATGCACCCTCTCAGCTATGAATGTAGAATTACAGGGCATCACATTATCCCCCCATAGATTAAGTCTGCTTTTCAAATTTGCTTATTATACAATGGAGAACACCAGAGTCCAAAAAAATTAACTCTTAGAATTTTAGTGCTATTCAGTCCTAACTAAAAACAACAAATTTCAGGTTGGAATTAAGAAAACCAATCAAGCCCTAAACAGTAAAAACTGACTTTGTAATTTTTTTTTTTCTGCACTGCTAACAAAAAGAATCTTTCTTACTCTCATGGTGAAATACAGAGAAACACAGCAACTCCAAGGTACTGATCGGCAACAAAAGTCCTTTCCTTCCTGCAGCATTCAGTCCCAAGATGACCAACTGCCAGGATCTTAATTCTATCTGGAAAAAATCTCTATCGGATTCCGAATTAAAGTCCAGAAAAATAAGTATATCCCCTAAAAAGCTAATAATAAACAGTTTATATTGCAAAGGAGACATTCTAATTTCACTCATCTCTAAATGCTGAAGAAAACAAGACAACCAACAGTAAATTATTTATTAATAAAATGCCAATACAAAACATTTTCTAAATCTTAAAAGGAAGCTATACATTGCGGGAAAATAATTCACAAATATATACAGGTTGATTATCCTTTCCAATGATAACGTGCACAGAAGACTCCCCTTGAGGAGACTGCTGGGTTTCAAGACTGATAATCAGTACTGCAAACAAATCAGATATTAAATTATAACGTGTTTACAAGCAAAGGCTAATACATAAACAGACAAGCTTACAGCTTAAAATCAGAAGTAAACTCTATTTATTAGAGTTATATCAGCACAGCTCCTACGCTTCAAAGGACTGATGCCGAAAAGTAACCACTCAGGAGCGGAGCACAGCCTGCAGAGTTCAAGAGTTACTCCATGCAGAGGCTGCCGCAATGACAATTTGACATAATTGGAGCATGTTTTGAAAACTCACTCTGGTCTGCTTCTTTTCCACAAATAACACCATGAAAACAGGAAAAGAGCTCACAGAGCAGCACTTGAAGGTGGAAATATACCACTGCTGAATGTAACCTGGGAAACTCAGCAGTTGGCTGTCAGAGCAAGGAAAAAAGAACTAAAGTCCGAAAAGACACCATGGACTTGCAACAAGTAAACAACCTCTCTTTTTATTTAGCAACAAATGCATTACTGAAGTGCTTATCTTTCATATAACTGCCTACATCACTGATGGTATCCTGACTGTTGATCAGTTTCCAACTAAACTGTAAGATACCAGCAGTCAACATTCACAACAACACTAGCTTCCAGATCAGAAAAAGGATGTCTCATTGCCACATGATAAAATCCAGCACACAAGCGTACTATGCAAGCTATAAACAGCTACTCAAACACCTCCTGTTGCTGGCTTTACATAAACAAAATGCTCATGCAGATCCCAAAACCATTTGCTGTGGGACTATTTCAGCACCCACACATTCAGTTTCTCCCCAGATTACTTTCTCCACAACCACTGCAGAGTACTTCACGTATGGAGATGACATTTCAGCAAAACAGTGATATTATTAAATCATACAGAGGTCTTAAAGCGCGATGCAAAGCACATACAGGACAATATTACAACAAATGAACTCGGGTAGATTAAAAGTACTTGAGTGACAAATAATTTCCAGATGTCTCCATCTGACCCATGCAAACAAGCTAGCAACTGTCAAGAGGAAAGT